TCAGTCACAGGGCCTCATCTTACCAAAACACAAAGGTCACAATTAATATGACTCTCTCTCCTTGCATCTAGCCCCTGTTTCAAACTTCAAGGACTCTTCCTCCACTGCACAGCTCAGTATTGAACCCTTGCCACCCAGTGTTGCTGAAGGTGAAAGTGTTCTTCTGCTGGTTCACAATCTCCCAAAAAATCTTCTATCCCTTTTCTGGTACAAAGGGATGATTGCAGTGAAAAAATTTGAGCTCATCCAACACATAATAGCCACAAGTTCAAGTGTGCTAGGGCCTGCACACAGTGGTCGAGAGACAGTGTACAGCAATGGATCCCTGCTGCTCCAGAAGGTCACACAGAATGATAGTGGATTCTATACTCTAAGAACTATGAGTACAGATCTGAAAGATGAAGTAGCTCATGTGCAACTCCAGCTGGACAGTAAGTGGTTCTCTGTGATTTTTCAGGTCTGGGTGGGGCTTAGACTCACAGGATTGTCATGCCTGTTCTATGCTTCCTTCATCCAGTGCACTGTGTTCCCATGTTGTTGTTTGAGCAGTTAGTGCAGGCCACACATGGTTGAGCCAAACAGCCATAGATCAGATGTTGTTATCTGACTCTCTCCTGTACCAAATAAGTCGTTGTTGGGGAGCAACTCAGCTTAAGATGTCAGAGTCTACCAAGAATCAGAGTTGTAGCCATGTATATGAGGAAACCATTGCATTCTCACAGAGAAATGAGTACCAGGACGCTCTCAAAACAGTCATCTGACCCCGGACTGGCCACAGGTGACCCAGGGGATTATTTGCCAGGACATCATCCTTACTTTTCTCACTGCTTAGAGGGAGCCAGGGTTTTAGGTCAACCATGTCAAACTAGGGTATTTATCAGCTCCAAGCATCAGAGGTCTGTAAATATAACCTAGGACCTCATGCAGTTAAAATGAGGAGTGCTGCATACAGGCTTGACCCTTATGGCTTTCTCAGTATGCTGTGTCTTCTTTTATTATCCAATCAGGGGTAGATGTCCTGCAGCGGTTGCTGCCCAGAAATATCAATATCCCATTAAACATTATATACTACAGTTGAATCTTGTAGTGGCATATTAAACTGAGGCTTCCGTTTCCCAAACGACTCTAGCATATATCAAGATTATTTAAAGCCAGCTATTCCAGATACCATCCTTTTATTATACGTGAGCTTGAGAATAAGCTGAGACTTCTCCTTGCCATCATTCACCCTAAGTCCCGTGTCCTGCAGGGAACAGCAGTAAGCATATCCATTAGATGCAGTTAGTGGTTGTCTGTAGCTAGAAAGCAAATTGGAACAAAATTAAAAATTCAGAGTTCAGAGGAGGCATCATTTCAAATTTCAGTGGGCATGAGAACTGAGGGCATTGAGAATGCAGCCATGGAAAAATTGAGAGAGAGAGAGAGAGAGAGAGAGAGAGAGAGAGAGAGAGAGAGAGAGAGAGAGAGAGAGAGAGATCCTCGCAGAGAAGTGATTCACTCAGTATCCATGAGAGAATGTAAGTCAAGTTGCTGACATTCACCAAGTAGGATAGGCATATCAAACCTGTAGCTGTAGGCAGAGTGATAAATATATTTTCTCATGACAAAGATCAGCACCTTCCCACCAACCCAATTGTCACAATGATAATTTTTTTCTCTTTTGTCTAGCCTCCATTTCTACTTGCTGTCACCTTTTGCAATTCAAGATTGAAGCAGTTCCTCAGAATGTTGCTGTAGGGAAAAGTGTTCTTCTCCTAGTTCATAATTTGCCAAAAGACTTTCAAGCATTTTTCTGGTACAGGTCAGCACATAGGTCAGATACATTCAAAATAGTAGAATACAACAGAGCCTTGGATTCTGCCATATCGGGGCCTGCATACAGCGGAAGAGAGATCGGATACCCCAATGGAACACTGCTGATACTTGATGTCATTGAGGAGGATGCAGGATTATACATGCTAGAAATTTTAAAAAAAGACTTCGAAATTGAAAATGCCTATGTTCAACTCCATGTAAATAGTAAGTGACACTCAATGCCCTCAGGTGCTGTACATGGCCTATCCTACTTTACAAACTGAACTGTCTAGAAGGAGCTGGACCTGCTGTCATCTCCATAGTGTTTTTTCTCCACACTGGGGTTTTTGCACTTTATCATACACATAGAGTAGACAACCTCACTGTTTGCTGTATCTCCATGTTGAGACTCGGGTATTTAGTGAAGGAGTCACATGGTAGGGAATAGCTGCAATTGATCAGAATGCTTCACTTAAGTTCACCATGTAGGTAGCTTAATTTATGGTGGGTAATTCATCCCAAGGATATGAGCCCCTGTTTACACTCTTGAGATTGTGTCCAGGAACATGTCCTTGAGAAAGTTTCTAAGAGACATTGAGAGCACCTGGTTATGAAAATAGTGGGATACTCCCTAGTTACTGATCAAGTATACCATAGATGGACATTTCCCAGACTAAAAATTAACTGTCCTGATGAGGCTTATAGAAAAGTCGTGGTTGCTAGGTATAGGGAAAAGGACATTAGTATTACTAAGAAATATTTGTCTTCTGGGGTCTGTCTCAGGGAATTCTTTTCTGCAGGCAAAATGACAACAGGCTGTGTTCATCTGGATAGTTCCCCAGGCATGAGCTGTAGTTCCCCCAGTTATCAATATGTGCAATCACATATTCAGAATAGTGTTGGTTTGAACCTTGACCTCACATTTTAGCCTGGCTTCCACTTTTCCCCCTACAGATCAGGAAGTCAAGGGCACAGCCTTTTTAGACCTAACGGCTGGTTCCCATGTTTGCTACTCTGTCAGTGAATCATGTTCATTAATAAATTTTGTACAATTCCTTTGGGAAAGGTATGGTAGCCAAGAAACATCACCTAGACTGAACTCCAAGGTATCCCAGAAAGCCCAGGGAGCACATAGGCAGACCCATCACATGTATTATCAATCAGAATTGGGAGCATCATCTTGAAACTATTCCAGGCACAATGGAGTCCACCGTGTCTTTCCAGGATTCATGTCATCAACTCACTTAAACCCAAGGTGTGAAACTCCATACATTTCCTCCTGGCCCTTTGTCTTGGTTCAGAATGCTGCCTGGTGGCTCCACTCAGAAGAGTTTGCAGTTCTCCTTGTACATCTTTCAGCTGGTGCCATTTGGAGCCCTCACTGGCATCTCTGTCCACTTCTAGCTGAGAGAAAAATTTCATCTTTATAGAACTTCGAGATCAGTGGGTAGGCTGTGTCTGCACCTGGGTTTGTGCTTCACACAAGAAGCACAGAGGCTCTCTCTTTGAGGCTGACAGACTAAATCCAGGCCTTAGTAGAAATCAACCCTGAGTTAAGTTGCTGTTCTCTAAGGGCACAGGAAGACTTATCGGCTTTTTTGATCACAGTTGTGGTTTGGAGACCTAAAATGTAAAAAGAGAAAAGGGTAGAGGGATCCAGTTGACTAGAAGAATGGCCAATAAAGAAAGGTGAAATCTGATGTCAGGTCATTGAAACCACAAGAAACACAGAAGATAACAAAGTCATCAACAGCAACAAAAAATTAAAACAAAACAACAACAAGAACAACAACAAAAATAACAAAGACTCAGGGAGTTAGGATCCATGGTGTGTAGGGGCAAATGTCTGGGGTGAATGACCCTATCTACAGTCTACGATGAATGTTATCAGCGATCTGTGGACAGTGAGCCAGAACCTTGTTGACACCCTAGTATAGAGCACCATGCAGGGAATATCACAAGTAGAGGGACACAATGTAAGACAGGTTTACACTCACCCGCAGCTAGGCTTTAAAATTAGCATTCCTCAGTCACAGGGCCTCATCTTACCAAAACACAAAGGTCACAATTAAT